TGGCGTCACCCCGCTGCCCCACCCCCTGTACCATGGTCTCACCCCGTTGCCCCACCCCTTTCTCCGAGGCCAGCGCCGCCCCCAACCGCTTCATGCCCATCCACAGCTCTGGCGTGATGAACACCTCCCTGGCTCCCCACGACAGCTACATCCAGCCCATCCGGCCCGTGGTCACCCTGGCCAGTGTTGCCAGGCAACGCGGCACGCAGCAGACGCTGTACCGCCAGAGTAGCGCCCACCCGAGCTCGGTGACAGCTCCGTCTGGGTTAGAGAGTACGACGGACAGCGCCATGTCGCATGTGGTGGCCACAACCAGCGCCCCGGGCACGCTACGGTCTTTGCACGAGTCTCAGGCCCCGTCGGTTGTTGGAGCCACAGACGGCAGTGTGGCCAGCTCAGGGGGGATAACCTGCCGCAGCCTGCCTCAGCAAGAGTCGCCCGCCCTTGTCCTCTCTCTGTCGGGCAACATCGGAAGCATGTCGGGCCGGGGTCTTCAGACGGTGTGGGGCAAAGAGCAGACGGTGGCCACTAGTGGTGCTTCCTCCAACCTCCCACGCACCTCTTCTGTCAGCTCCCAGCCCGCTGTGGCAAACGTCGTCGGTGCCGCTACACCCAGCCAGTCTGCATCTGCAGTGGCGAGAGGTCAAGGTGAAGGTCGCGGTGTGATGAAGGACGTGGAGCTGCCCGGGGAGATACTGCCGTCGTACGAGGAGGCCGTCATGCTTCTCACAGGTCACGAGCTCGAAGCTTTCAAGAAACACAGGGAGCAGGGGGGGACCGGAGGCCCACACAGTCTGTCCATGGCCTTAGACAACACAACCCAGGCCAGTGGTCGGAGTCAGAGCTCTACTGGGGGTCAGTCGTGGTCACAAACTACACCACAACCACCTCAACCATCCACAACAACAACAGCGACATCAACATCAACAACGACTGTCGCTCCAGCCACCAGACCCGCCCCCCGGGCTCCCCCCCAGCACAACAGTCCTGGCACGTTGCCCGACCCCGGGAGATGCCCGTTTTCCCGCCAGTTGGCCATGCTGAGCGGGCGCACACAGCCCCCGACCCCCGGTCAAGTCGGTCAGACCAAGGTCTTGGAGCGGTCACCAGCGCCCCCGGCCAAAGCAGACAGCTGCCCGAGTCTGAAGGCCATGCTCCGCGCCCCGCCCTTTGCCCTGTCCGTCAACAGAACAAACCCCGCCTCTCAGGTCCCGCCCACCGTGGGCCCCGCCCCCACCACACAGCATCAGCTGGCTGCCCAGGGGGCGAGAACTGGCGCGACACGCTCCACCGGGCAGCGACTGGTGGGAGGAAAACCACGCGACAAATCCTCGTCTCAGCGGGACCAGAGCCCCCTCCAAGTGTCTGTGGCGTCCAGCAAGCTGGAACCCTCCTCCAACGCCTCCAGTAGGAACTCTCCTCTCCAGTCACAGAGCAATCGGCTGACGTGGTCTTCTTCTCCACGTGGCTCCCACCCGTCTCTCAACCCGACCCAGTCGTTTACTGTGGGAAAACCCACCCTATCTTCGCAGCTCTCGGGCCAGCCGCAGGCCGTGAGCGCCAGGTACAACACTCCGACAACCTTCAGCAGACAGGTCGTCCAGCCGCCCACCAACAAACCACATCCCACCAACAAACAACGTCCCACGGCAGGCCACACACCCAGAAAAGCGTCGGCCTCTGACCTCCCATCGGCCAACTACGCGGGCACGGCCCCCAACGTAGACCTGACCAAAACGTCCCTGGCCATGGGCTTTGCACCACCGACCACCGCCGCACCACCGACCACCGCAGCACCACCGACCACCGCCGCACCACCGAGACAGAGAGCAGCGACAGACGTGGGGCCCGCCCCCGCCAACTCCCAGATAAACACGGACGACCTTCAAGCCACGCTGGAAGTTCTCAAGAGCCTGGACAGTCAGTACTTTCTACACAACGACGAGGACAGCAACAGCTCGGAGCTGTAGACCAATTGTGGGGGATCTGTACAGGAATTGTGAGGAGACTGTGGAGGATCTGTGGGGGGGGGGGGGGGACTGTACAGGAATTGTGGGGGCACTGTGGAGGATTTGTGGGGGGATCTATACAGGAATTGTGGGTAAATTGTCCACCGTCAGATGGAGGGATTATTCCCATGAGCTAGAGTGACTGACCACCGTCTGATGGGGGAAGCAGCTCACCACGAGCATCTATGCACTGCTGTGTATTGTGGCCGTCATTTCACATCGTTCTTTGTCAACATACGAGGTTGTCACATACAAGAAACTAGTATATTTTTCTCTACACACGATCCTTTTACTTACACAGAACGTTCAACGAGTCTAAACCTGTCTCTGTGATATGAAGAGACATGAGACTAAGACCTGCTGATGTAGCCGGTCACTTTGTACGACAGACCGTATGTGGGAGATGTTGACTCTGAGCTCTGTGGAGGGAGGGCCACCGTGTGGGAGGGGAACACTGATGTCTGACAGTTGGGAACTGATGGGATGAGAGGTTTACTGTAGTTTGGGGTGAGAGGTTTACTGTAGTTTGGGGTGAGAGGTTTACTGTAGTTTGGGGTGAGAGGTTTACTGTATTGTGACATTTGTGAGACCAGAGGTTTACTGTAGTGTGACATTTGAGAAGTGATGGGATGAGAGGTTTACTGTATTGTGGGATGAGAGGTTTACTGTATTGTGGGATGAGAGGTTTACTGTATTGTGACATTTGTGGGCCACTGACATTTGGGACGTTGTGTGAACTTTGACTGGTGCCAACATGATGTGTGAACAATATGTGAACAATATATATGTGTGTATAGTTTTGCTATAGTCAGAGAAAACACATCTGTCTTGCCAGTGGGGACAAGTTCTCCATTCCTTCTCACTCCCACGGCGGGTGGTGCTTGCTGGCACAAAACTGTTGATGAATGACGTGGGGCTGTTACATAATCCCAGTCTGCGGGGGTTCTGGGGACTCGCATCTTTTCTTTTCCCACAAGTCGATGTCTTGGGAGGATTTTGAGGGAAACTCTCTTGTGTTTTTGTCCCTGGAGTCGTGGAGTGGTTGGCAGACCTGCCGGTACATCATCATGGTTGGTACATCATCATGGTTGGTACATCACCATGGTTGGCAGACCTGCCGGTACATCAACATGTACATTTTGTTTTTTTATGGACATGAGGAACTTTGTATGATATGAAAGTTTACGAGTGTAAAGATATGTTTTGTACAGTGAAGAATGTCCATGTTATATCCTGCCGTTGTTGTACTCCTGTGTGCGCTGAGCGCGGTTTTACTGTACAAAGATTGCCCTGGCTAAAGTCTAAAAGATACAGATTTTACTAAAAAGGTTCTATTTCCATATTATGATCAGAATTTTGTGAACTTGTATGTTTGTATAGTTTGCACATTTTACTTCTGTACACAGCGCGGACGTGTTTCGTGTTTGTTCGAACAGTTTTTGTGTCGTGGCAAACTGGTGAACTGAGGTCACCTCATTGATGACTTTCTGAAGAAAAGACAGAACATTTTTACAGAAATCTGCGTCGTCTTAGTCTTTTTGTCTCTCTGTGTTTTGTCTTTTTGTCTCTTGGTGTTTTGTCTCTCTGTGTTTTGACTTTGACCTTCTTTTTTTTATAATTTAATGTCCGTGTTTTTTCCAACCCCATCAACACAGTTTAGATAATATAGGAAGCGGGCTTCTGGCCATGTCTGTCAGGGCCAACCTGGGCTGAGAGGGATACAACATCCCAGCAGACAGACCCGGGCTGAGAGGGATACAACATCCCAGTAGACAGACCCGGGCTGAGAGGGATACAACATCCCAGCAGACAGACCCGGGCTGAGAGGGATACAACATCCCAGCTGTAAGACTGATATACTCCTATACTCAGTAGCCTACAAATTCTCCCCTCTTGGAAATTAAACTCTGTTCTCTTCCAATACTCCTATACTCAGTACAAATTCTCCCCTCTTGGGAAGTAAACTCTGTTCTCTTTCTGTTCTCTTTCTGTTCTCTTCCATGTGACGGCAGTGTGTCCAAAGGGTACAGCTCCGACGTGGGTCTCCTGCTTTTGCGATGAGTCGAGATAGGTCATTGGGTGGTTGGTGGGTGCTCTGGTGTGGTTTGCTCCTTCTTTCCTATTAAACATCTATCATCCTTATCTCTCCTCCTTCTTTTCATGTTTGTTACTCCCTTGTAACACCTCTAACATTCGGCACTTATATGACCTTATTGTGTTGCAAGTGCCGTAAAAGTCTTACTAAAACAAAAAACAAGACGGGCTACAGCACAGACGTGGGTCTCCTGGTGTTGCGACGTGTCAAGTTGAGTCATGACACACTTCACCGAGCTGTGTGACTGGTGGAGAAACTTGTCTCCCTGGTCGAGGTGGGAGGAGAATTGGCTTTGCCAGTGAAGGGAACGGGTTCAGTTCCCCACTATAACTATGTGTCACATCGCGGTGGAATCAGGCGCTCGTCAAGTTTTTGGCATATATTGAGTTATTGGTATCATCTTAAAGCCTGTCCGTTTGCCTTGCTTTTGATGAAAACAATACCCATTTATCTTGGATACAAGTCGAGATATTTGTGATTGAAGCAGGCGTGGTAGTGGTAGGCTACCTGGTTTCAGAGGTAAAATTAGGGAGAAAATGGCTACCAAAGTTTAATTATTTCCTTAGCTTGAGAGCCCATGGAAACTGAAAATTTACATCTTTTATGCATCTAATCAATGTTTTTCAGTAAAATCCACACTGAAATGTGTTTTTAACGGGCATAAAAGGTGTTGAGCTGGGGAAAAAAATTCAATAAAAATTCCCAAACCTCCGGGAAAATGACAGTTTCTTCACTTTCATTATTTTGACGAGCGCCTGATTTCTCCACGCTGCCTCACATACCATGTGTGTGCCTAAAGTGAGGTACCAAAAGCCGCCACAGAGCATTTTGAGCTACAGGGTAATAATGACCAAAAAATCACTTTTGTGACCAAAATGTGACTCCATAAAAAATGATAGTTCCGCCATTTTTTAACAGTGAGTTGAAATAAGGGTTTTTCATTATTTGGCTTCTAAATATTTTATTTGGAATAATTTTGAGACTAGGGTATTTTTAGAAGATAAATAATGAAGACTGCTTTTAGAAGGTGTTAAAATCTATCCTTGAGCCATGTTTTCTCTTCCCTGCTATGTTTTACCATAAATTACAAATTCTAATCACGATTTGATGTCAACTGAAAGCCAAATTGGAAATAAATTTTCCTTTAAAAAAATACATTAGAAACAATCGAATCATCGTTTTTGTCAAGCGTGTATATGTGTCCTAAACTTAAAAGTTAATTTTCTCAAAATTAGATCTTTATACCCCTCCTCGCAAAATGTGCAATATCTCAAAAACTACTTGAAATATTTCAAAAATTTAAAAACCACAGTGTTCAGCTTTGAATGTCCTATTAGATACAACCCTTTAAGGATTGGTGGACCCCGGGTTCAACGTAGTGAAATAAGTAGATCTAGGTTTCATTAATTAAGGATTGGTGGACCCCGGGGTCAACGTAGTGAAATAAGTAGATCTAGGTTTAATTAATTAACCCAGACAGCATGACTTCTTCGGCTGACTGCGCGGCACTGAGTCAGCAAGGCGGACAAGCGGAGTCCTATGTCCAGCTGACGTAGGGGCGACTTTCACTTTCAATAACTATTCAGCGGTGGCCTAGGCCTACCTATTGCCGATACTCCATTGCCAAAGCGGCTTTCACACATCAAAATAAAGTGGGCTCTGCATCAGATTAAAGGGACATAATTTTATAGGTTCCTATTCTTGCTTGCAATATCCGTGGATTACATCCCGCTACAATACAACCTCCCTCCCCCCCTAAAACCATCTCTCTCTCTCTCTCTCTCTCTCTCTCTCTCTCTCTCTCTCTCTCTCTCTCTCTCTCTCTCCCAGTATTTTCTAGTTCTTACCCATTGTTCCACAGTATTTTCTAGCTCAAACTTAAAATTTCCTAGTTCAGCCCCAGTATTTTCTAGCAAATTCCCAGGTATTTTCTAGTCCATCCCCAGTATTTTTAGCTCATCCCAAGTATTTTCTATCTCGTTCTCAACATTTTCTAGCTCATCCCAATATTGTTCATCTACTCCCAAAATTTTCTAGCTCATCCCAAGCATTTTCTAGCTCATCCCAAAAATTATCTCGCTCATCCCCAATATTTTCTATCTCTATACCCAATATTTTTTTCCTTATCCCCAGTATTTTCTACCGCATCCCTAATATTTTTAGCTCATCAAAAGTATTTTAATATTCTAGCTTATCCCTAGTATTTTCTATCTCACCCTTCATCTTTTGTAGCTCTTCCCCACCTGTTTTTTAGCTTATTATCCGTAATATTTTCTAGCTCATCCACAGTAGTTTTTAGCTTATCCGTAATATTATCTAGCTCATCCACAGTAGTTTTTAGCTTATCCGTAATATTATCTAGCTCATCCCCAGTAGTTTTTAGCTTATCTGTAATATTTTATCTTATACCCAGAGTTCCCCAGTGTTCCCCAGTATTTTTATGCTAATCCCAAATATTCCCCCTTATTTTCTAGCTCATCTCCAATATTTTCTAACTCAACCCTAATAATTTCTAGCTTATCTCGAATAGTTTTTAGCTCATCCCAAGTATTTTATAGCTCAACTTTAAAATTTTTGAGCTCATCCCCTCTACTTTCTAGCTCAACCACATTATTCTCTAGCTCATCACTAATATTTTTCACCTCATGCCCAAATATTTTCTAGCTCATCCCTAATATTTTCTCGTTCATTCCCAACATGTTCTAGCTCACCCCCAGTATTTTTTATCACATCCCCAATATTTTCTAGCTCATCCCCAATATTCCCCAGACTTTTCTATGTCATCCCCAATATTTTTATCTCATCCACAATATTTTCTAGCTCATTCCCAGTATTTTCTAGCTAATCCCTAATATTTTCCACCTAATCCCTAATATTTTCCAGCTCAACCCTAATATTTTCTAGCTCATCCCCAGTACTTTTTAGCTCATCCCCTGTATTTTCTAACTCATCCCCAGAATTCCTCAGTATTTTATAGATCATTCCCAGTACTTTCTATGTGATCCCAAAATTTGCCAATATTTTCTAGACCATCCCCACTGTTTTCTAGTTCATTCCAAGTTCATTCCAAACATTTTTTAGCTCATCCACAATATTTTCTAGCTCGTCATCAGTGTTTTCTAGTTCATCTCCAAAATATTTTTAGCTCATCCCCAGTATTTTGTAGCTCACCCGCAGCATATTTTAGATCATCCCCAATACTATTTTCTAGTTCATCCCCAGTATATAATAACTCAACCTTAATATTTTTAGTTTATCCCCACAATTGTTTAGCGTATCCCCAGTGTTCCCCAGTATTTTCTAGCTAATCACAAATACTCCCCACTATTTTAAAGCTCATCCTCAATATTTTCTAGCTCCAACCCCAGTATTTTCTAGTTCCATCCCCGTATTCCCCCGTATTTTAGCTCATGTGTAGTATTTTCTAGCTCAACTCCAGTATTTTCTAGCTCCATCTACAGTTTCTAGCTCAACCTTAATATTTTCTACACCGTCCCCAACAGTAATTTTAGCTCAGCTCCAATATTTTTCATTTCATCCCAAATATTTTCTAGCTCGAACCTACTATTTTCTTGTTCATCCCCAACATTTTCTAGCTCATCCCCAGTATTTTACATGTCATGCCCAATATTTTGAAAATCTTTTTACCAATAATAGTTAGTTCATCCCCAATATTTCCAAGACTTTTGTATCTCATCTACAACATTTTTTTTTTTAAATCTCATTCCCAATATTTTTAGATTCTTAATATTTTCTAGCTCATCCCAATAGTTTTTATCACATTTCGAGTATTTTCTAGCCCATCCCCAATATTTTCTGGCTTGTCCCAAATATTCCCCAGTATTTTCTAGCTCAACCCTGATATTTTCTACATCATCCTTAGCATTTTCTAGTTCATCCCCAGTTTATTCTAGCTCATCCACATTATTTTGTAACTCATCTTAAAAATGTCCTAGCTCATCAGCAGTATTTTCTAGCTTTACCACATTATTTTCTAGCTCATCATTAATATTTTCTAGCTGACCCCTAATATTTTCTAGTTCATTCCAAACATTTTCTAGCTCATTCCCAATATTTTTTATCACATCCCCAATATTTTCTATCTCATTCCCAACGTCCCCCAGACTTTTCTATCTCATCACCAATATTTTTTAAATCTCATCCACAATATTTTCTACCTCATCCCCAGTATTTTCTAGTTCATCTCCAATATTTTTAGCTCATCCTCAGTATTTTCTAGCTCAACACTAATATTTTCTAGATCACCCCCACTATTTTCTAGCTCCTCTGCAGCATGTTTTAGATCATCCCCACTATTTTCAACCTTAATATTTTTAAGCTCATCGCCCCACAATTTTCTACCTCTACCACAGTAATTTCTAGCTCATCCTTTTCTTCTTCATTCCCCACTATTTTTCATCTC